TTATAGGGAAAATAAAATGATTGAAACTGGGCCGTCTTGGACAGCCAAGGCCCAGGCAGGGCCAGCTCCTTTCACCTTCCCAGTCAAGATGCTGCCTGCAGCCCCTCCCATCCTGGCCCGAGATGTGTCCCTGTCCCTAAGAGGCCCTGAGGGCTGCTCCAGGCTGAGTGCATGAGGAGCCTCTGAGCAGGAGCCTGAATCAAGGCGTGCCCTCTTGAGAGGCGAGGCTGACCCCAGCATCCAGCTTGGCTGGGGACGCTCGCTTGGGAACGAGCTGGTTCTGGGTGCCTGCCTCGGGGAGGGCCTTGGGGCTGCTCATGCCGGCACCAACGTGGGCCTGGGGCAGGACCTGCATATGGGTGCCAGGTCCTGAGCAGTTGTGGGGGAGAGTTTCAGGAGGAGAGGCTGGTGGTGGCAAGAACGGGAGGCAGGTGGTCGAACCAGCAGTGTGGCTTTGGAGGTGCTGGAGGAGCAGGGCCCGGAGGAGCGGGTGGGGAGCCAGGAAGGAGCAGCTGCCAGGACAGGCTGGCCTGGGAGGGTGGCCAGGAGCTGCGGGAGAAGCTGGTGGTCTCTCATTGCAAGGGTGGGGCTGGCCTGGAGGAGAGGCCCATGGGGTCCCTGTTGGCTGAGCGTGCAGTGGCAGTCCCCGGAAGCTGAGTATCAGCCCTGCCACTGAGCAGGCAGTGCTCAGAGAGAAACGGGTGACAGGAGGGCATGTGCCAGCCAGCTTTGCACCTCGAACCCAGCCCAGGAGGGACCCGCAGCACAGGGGTGGGGGATAGGTGGCCATTCTCTGTTGTCTCTCCTGCCTTCTGAAGAGGGTGCTTCTGGAATCTTCCATCACTGCGATAAACTCAGGCTTTTACGTAGGCCCACTTCTGACAAGGCTCATCTGGGCTTTCTACCCCAGACTCTAAGTCTCCCACCACCTGGCTCCCAGTTCCTCTTTCCCATGGAGGAAGTCAGCAGAGTGTGTGGCTGACGGGAAAGACAGCACAGCGGGCCTGCCCAGCGGGGGGAGAAGCCGGGCCATTGTTCTTCAGTTCCAGGATGCCCCGCTTCCCCAAACAGTCTGGCAGTGGGAACAGGAAGTCTCTGGGCACATAGGCAAGCGGGGGGGGGGGGGGGGGGGGGGGGGGGGGGGGGAGAAGAGGGAGGGGGGGGGGGGGGGGGGGGGGCGGTGCACAGAGACAAGCAGGGGGCATAGAGGCAAACGGGGCACACAGAGGCAAGCGGGGGACCATGAACAGGCAAGGAGTACGAGGCTCCACCCGCCCGGGCAAGGCCAGGCTCCCACAGAACCCTGCTGTGGCCAGGCAGGTGCATGGGGCCAGGCCATCCCCCTCACTCAGATGCAGGGGCAGTGAAGGCGGGGCAAGGGCATGCAGGGTAGTGCCCAGAACCCTGGGCAGGACAGGACCCCTGCCAGAGTGCCCAGAACAGCTCAGTGACAGGGAGCTGGCCTGGCTGCAAGGGCTGGGCATGCATCACCAGTCACCTGTGACCAGGAGAGGCAGGAACACTGGCTCACATGACTTGCTGGGCCCTGGCACACTGTGGTTCTGGGGGCACCGCCTGCTGCTCCCAGCCTTCAAAACCTGCACCTCATGCTCACTCCTCTGGGAGCCGTGGCTAGGAACCCACAGGTTCTCAAACCGGCTCCCACAGGCACTCCCAGGGACCCCTGTTCCTACCATGAGCCTGGCCAGAGAGGAGGCAGGCCACAGAGCCATGTTCCCCAGGAGCCCCTCCAGAGAGGAGGCGGGCCACAGAGACTCATCCACCCAGCGTGACCAAGGAGAGAGTTTCCTCAGACTCTTCCTTCTATGCCTCTCAGCCCAGCTCCTGACACAGGCAGGAGCCTGACCTCCTTGGCTCTAGGAATGTCCGCCCCCAGTTGGCTTCCCTCCGAAGATCTCTAGGTAATGCCTGGTAAAAAGAGGGCCCTGGGGAGAATGTTGGGGCAAACAGGCAAAGCGTGTCACCTTCCAACCGATGGAAAGGGAAGGAAAACAGGTGCTGCTCAGCTCGTAACCTTCCTTGGAAACAGAAATTATCTTTGTGGTTGATACCTAGTGAACTGCACAGAGAACAACCTGCAGCTTTGAAGTATATAAATCCTTCGGTATCTGTCAGCTGCCAGTAAATAAAAATGCACTCAGGAGAACTTTCCACCTGACCCCACCCAAGAGCCCAGCTGGCGTTTCCAGGTTCCGGCTGGGGTGAGAGCAGGCACTGGAGAGCGGCTCAGATGGTGAGTGGGACGCATGTGAGCGCATGGAGGAAATGCCAGCAGCTCCTGCTCCACGTGACACCCTCCCAAGAATCGAGCCATTCTCAGCTCAGCAGATGCTGGATGCTGGCCGCCTCCCTCCGGCTCAGCTGACGGAGGGGCAGGCATTAGCAATCCAGGCAGCTTCTCTCGGACTCCCCGAGAGGAGGGGGCGTGGCGGGCCACAGGCTGGCCTGCGTGGTTCCACCTGCAGGAGAGCTCCGCAGAGGCATCCCTTGCAGGAGGCTCATGATTGGGGCCGGCTCAACTTCTCTCCAGCCGTGCCATATCCCATCTGTGCACAGACATGCTGGATGCACGCGCTCCCATCTCTGCTTCCGATCTGAGCCTGCCCTCCACCTCCGCTGTGCCTCTGAGAACCTCTGTGTTCTGTGGGCTGTGAGTGCGGCCCGGCCTTTGCTCTACAGTAGACCCTTCATTGATTTTCTCCGGGAAAAAAAGAGCTTGTAACCAATGTCTCTGGCACACTGAGAACCAGGGGCAGCTGCCTGCACCTGGACAAGTCTCGGCCTGACCTGCCCCTGGGCACTCGGTGGGACAGCCTGCAGGGATGCAGACAGGGACCTGTAGGGAGAGGCCACGGCCCCCAGGAGCTGGGCTGTCAGAAAGGTGGGGCCAGAGGCCAGCTGTGCTCAGTTCAGCCCCTTGTTTCTGGAACCCAGCAGTAAACAGCAGGAGGGAGGGGCGGCGGTGCCTGCCAAGGGAGGCAGAGGCCCTGCGGGGAACTCAGGAAAACAAGTGCTCGAATCCTGGGGCCCTGGCTTGCACGCACGCGCAGGAGGCCAGGCGCAATGCTGATAAGAGCCTCGGGTTTGCCGAGAAGCGCGGCAGCCCAGGTCCTCACCAGAGCTTGGTGGCCGCCTCCGTCCCACCATGCTGCTCGCGAACAGTGGCCAGGACCCACAGCGCCAAGAAGCGTGGGCCACCAAGTAAAGGTGAGAGCCTGAGAGGGGATGCAGGGGGCTCTGTGCAGCACCACCGGCTGGCATCTCTAAGTGGCGAGTGAAGGGATGCCCAGATGGAGCACACTGAAGAGTCCCAGCCCTTGGCAAGCTCTGCGGGGTGAAGGCAGCCGGCTGGGCTGCGCCCTCTTGTCGGTAGTTGGAGGCGGCACACGGCGAGAAGGTCCTTTTGCTCCGATCTTTTCACCATAGACCCTGGACAGATCCAGGGGCCCTGGGTGCCCTGTGAGGCCAGGCCAGGATACTGACACCCAGCTCAATGGCTGGTATTTACTGAGGACTCAAGTGGCTTCTGGGGGGTGATGCCCCCAAACTGGGCTCCCACTCAGCCCTGTGACAGCTAAAGCCATGCAGCCTCCAAGGCAGGAGCAGGGTAAGGGGGACCATACATCCCAAGACCCCTGTCCTCTGGACCCTGGTACAGCAGGAGGGGAGAAGACCCCAAGAGGCCTGGACGCCCTCGGCTGCTGTGCTGGGAGCAGGTGCATCCTGTCTGGAGCTTGTGCTGGCCTGGCGAGTGGAGCCCAGGTGGTTCTTTCTGGTCAAGATGTGTTAGTGAGGGGCTGGGGCTGGGGGTTCAGGACCTGGGAGTGCTTGGCGGCACTGTGGTTGGGCACACCCGGCAGTGGCCTTGCTCTGCATGCCTGTCACCACCTGATACTCACTGTAGGCTGCTGGGCATCATTCGTCAGGGTTGCACAATGACCCACAACTCCCGTCCTGCCCGCCTGCATCCGGATGGGAATTCCCACATCATCCACCCACCCATCTGCTGGCTGCCTACATGCCTGGCCCTGGGGCTGCATCACCTGCTGCAGGGTGCACACTGCTGCTGGCACTGGGGGCCTCAGACCCCGGCCCCTCTGTGCTCTTCTCCTCCCAAGCTTCCTGTTCCTGTCCTGCTGTGGCCCTGTGGGTCTTGTGGTGGCAGGACTTGGATGGCGAGTGAGGACCTGCTCTCATAGCCACAGCTCCCAAATCCGGCCTCCATGCCACTCCTGTCTTTGGGCACAGAACGCCGCTGTCTGCCCATCTGCCTGAGATGCTTTCTACTCCACTCTGAGAGCAGGTCAGCCAGGGCCAAACTATGTGCTGGATATCAGGTTTCCCGAGATAGCTACAGGTCCCCGAGGAATACCTATGCTTTGGAGGGGAGGGAATTCTTTATGATGGCTCCATCTGCAAGGTTCTCATTCAGTGACGTCAAGACCAGCTGTGTCCCTGAGCCTTCTGTGGGCTTTGACCCACAGGCCACTCTCCCTGGAACCCAGGCTCTGTGAGGACTCCAAGGTGCCAGGTCCTGGGCTGCTGGAAGGGAGGGAGGCCTGGGGCTGACCATGCACACTGCCTGCCCCTCACGGCACTGGCAGGATCCGAACACCCACAGGCACCTGATAAACTTTGGGAATCACCACATAGGGCCCGTCCAACAAAGTCAGGACGACCATACAGGCCTCATAGCAGCCCACGGAGAGTGGGCTCTGAGCCTGTGGGCTGTGCCAGGCTCCCTCTCTGGTCCCCATCCCCAGCCATTGAACTGAGGGCAGCCACAGAACCCCTGGTCAGGACCTGAGGTGGCCATTTTTCAGTGGTCACCTTCATTTTTACAGAAATGTACCTGAGGCAGCCTCGCTGTAGTCTCCAGGGTTCCTGTGCCAGGAGAAGGCGCCCCTGCACCTGTAGTACTTCTGGGCCAGGGCCCTGGGAGGGGACATGTGCTGACCTCTTGTTCCGTCTTTCCGCAGGGTTGTGGAGTCCCGCCGGCCGCCATGTGGGGCTGCAGCTGGCTCAATGGCACAGGACTGGTGGAGGAGCTGCCTGCTTGCCAGGACCTGCAGCTGGTGCTGCTGGTGCTGTCACTGCTGGGCTTGCTAGTGGGCGTGCCGGTGGGCCTGTGCTACAACGCTCTGCTGGTGCTGGCCAACCTTCACAGCAAGGCCAGCATGACCATGCCGGATGTGTATTTCGTCAACATGGCGGTGGCGGGGCTGGTGCTCAGCGCCCTCGCCCCCGTGCACCTGCTGAGCCCCCTGAGCTCCCGGCAAGTGTGCCGGGACTCCCAGTGGCCACTGTGGAGTGTGGGCAGTGAGGTCCATGTGGCACTCCAGATCCCCTTCAATGTGTCCTCGCTAGTGGCCATGTACTCCACTGCCCTGCTGAGTCTCGACCACTACATCGAGCGTGCGCTGCCGCGGACCTACATGGCCAGTGTGTACAACACGAGGCACGTGTGCGGCTTTGTGTGGGGCGGAGCGCTGCTGACCAGCTTCTCTTCGCTGCTCTTCTACATCTGCAGGCACATATCTGCCCGTGCACTGGAGTGCACCAAGATGCAGAACGCTGAGGCTGCTGACGCCATGCTGGTGTTCATCGGCTATGCGGTACCGGCACTGGCTGCCCTCTACGCGCTGGTGCTGCTCTCCCGCGTCCACAGGGAAGACACACCCCTGGACCGGGACGAGGGCCGGCTGGAGCCCTCAGCACACAGGCTGCTGGTGGCCACCGTGTGCATGCAGTTTGGGCTCTGGACACCACACTACCTGACCCTGCTGGGGTGCACGGTCTTTGTCTCGCGAGGGAAGCCTGTGGATGCCCACTACCTGGGGCTGGTGGACTTTGCAAAGGATGTGTCCAAACTCCTGGCCTTCTGCAGCAGCTTTGTGACGCCGCTTCTCTACCGCTACATGAACCAGAGCTTCCCTGGCAAGCTCCGGCGGCTGATGAAAAAGCTGCCTTGGGGGAACCGGCACTGCTCCCCGGACCATGTGGGGGTGCAGCAGGTGCTGGCCTAGGTGGCCCAGCCCTCCCACGTGCGGACGCAGCAGACGCTGGCCTAGGCGGCTGGCCCTCCCACATGGGGGTGCAGCAGGTACTGACTTAGGCGGCCAAGCCCAGCCTTCCCACATGGGGTACAGCAGGCGCGGACATAGGCCCAGCCCTTCCATGCAGGGCTGTGGCAGGCAGTGATGTAGGCGGCCCAGCCCTCCAACATGGGGGTGCAGCAGGTGCTGCCACCTAATGGCCCAGCCCTCCCACACAGGAATGCAGCAGGCGGTGACATAGGCCCAGCCCTCTCACGTGGGGTGCAACAGGTGATGATGTAGGCAGCCCGGCCCTCCCATGCGGGGGTGCAGCAGGTGCTAGTGCAGGTGGCCCAGCCCTCCCACGTGGGAATGCAGCAGATGCTGATGTAGGCCTAGCCTTCCCGGGAGGAGGTGGCTCTGGTGGACACAGAGCACTTTGCTACCCTGGACGGCCCCTGCGTCCTTCCCAGAAGATGAGCTGCTACAACAGAAATATGAAAGGTGTTTCTCTTGCACTTTTATTTTTCCCACAAAGGCCACTCTTGGGCCAAGGCCGTGCTGTCCCCAGTGGCTGGCGCCTGGCGTGAGTCTCCCCGAGGCCTGTGCGTCTCCTGAACACATGGCGCAGGGTCCACATCTGCAAAAGCCTCCTCGCTCTCAGCCCCCACAGAATTCAGTTTGTCAATGAAGTGATGAAAGCCTAGAGCCAGTATTTATACTTTGCGGTCAAAACACTTGGTTGCCCCTCATTTGTTTTATAAAAAGAGATGTTTTCTAGAAAAATGACAAGTATGAAAATGAAGGAAACCCCATGAAAGAATGCCAGCAGACCAGGGTGACTTGCCCCTACCAGTGGGCGGCATGGTGCTGGCTGGGCCTGCCAGGTGTGCCGCGGTTACCACAGGATTCTGAGAATATTTCACAGAAGTGCCTGAGACGTGCGAGACGCGGCTGGTGTTAAACAAAGCCACCCAGTAGCAGTGACGTGCTCTCCCCAGCCACCACGTGTCCCTGACACCCTCTCCAGACCCCACAGATAACATCAGCTAAGGTTTTCTCAGTATGAATCTGTCCTTCCAAATCAACTTCCCAAAGTGTGCACAAAACTAAAGAAAATGAAAGAAAGGTGTGTTAGGGTTTCTGGCTGAATACCAGAGCTGACGGGTCCCCCCACTGCAGGGGACAGAGGGCCGGAGGCTGTGTGGCATGGGGTCTGGCGGGAGGGACAGGGAAGAACCTGAGGCCAGCTCCCAAAGCACCTGGGAGCAGCATCTGCATCTCTGCGGCCCTTGCAGCCTCAGCTAGGGCCCAGACCGGCCTGTTTCGCTTGGGTGCATGGGTCCGTAGTCAGGGGTCATCGTCCCTCATCAACCTCACTCGAGACCTTCCACCCACTGGTGTTCTGTAAATCATCTAACTTTAAAATGTGGCCATGAGAAAAGACCCCATTCCTCCACACCATCTGTTCGCCTCTACACGATTTTCTAGGATTAAATTACTGGCCCACAATCCCCTATCCCCAATTCTAAAACCCAGAAAGCTCTGAAAACAGCAAGATATTCCCCAAAGTCTGCAGCAAATTCACGCGGCAGCGATCCCTGACCGGAAGAGATGTGAGGGCTGCATGTCCACGTGGACCCCACCCTTCTGGAGAAAGGTCGGCGTGGCTGTGGGGGGCTGCCCCATGCTCCGGTGCTCTGTGGACACCCCCGGCACACTTCCTCCCCACAGCCTGAGCCCGCTGGAATTCTGAGTACGCCCGGCACCAGGGACAGTGGGCCGGGAGGTGCAGCTTGCCGCCATCGACGTGGGGACATCACGCTCTGGTCCCAGTCTCCTGGGACTTCAGCCGTGAGGTCATTGGCATTATATATCGTGTGCTGCGAGTGGGTCAGAGTCGGCCTGGTGAGGACGTGTGGCTGCAGGCGACTCCTGCTGGGACTGAGACTCGCAGGACAGACTCCTAAGCTGCAGGATCAGAAAAGAGTTTTCTGAGCTGCTTTCATCAGTGTTTTCTTTCAGATGTGTCAGGATCACATGTGGATCTTTAAAGCTGCAGGCCTGACCTCCTTTCCACTCCCTCTGGAGCCGGAGCGGGTGGAAGGGCCTCATCTCTGATGGTCCCGGGCTTCCCATCTCCATGCCTGCATGGAAACCCTGGCATCCAATGAGGAAACGGTCACACCACCCCGCAGAACCCTGCTCAGTGGCTGGCGCCGAGTCACCCCAACCCTCCTCCCTGTGCAGCCCGGCTCTGCAGGGTGGGGTGTCTGTGTGTGAACCAGGAGACCCCCTTCCTGTTGGATATGCTCCAGCCCTCTTGGCTCCAGGCTGAGCTCCTGGGAGAGGGGCAGACCCCACAGCACAGGTGAGGGTGGTGCCAGGCTGCATCTGCTGGGGAATTACCCCATCCAACCAGTCCTCCCCAAAGGCGGAAGGGCCCTAAAATCACTTTATTGCAATTTATCGGTAGCTCTGGGTGCAAAATGGCTCATTTCTGTGGGTCTGTTGGGGAGCCTGGCCTGCACTCAATACCCCTGTTGGGTGGTCAAGTGGAGAGGCCCCGGGGACACCCCACAGCCTGGTCAGCTTTTCCTGGTGGGCCACACGCAGGGCAGGCACATGACTCCAGTGCAGACCCCCACCTGCTACCTGAGACCCTTTGCTACACATCATGGCCTCCCCTTACCCCTACCCAGCCAGTCCCCTCCTCATCCCCAGACCCCGCCAGCCTCTGCTGCCTGAGACCCTCCACTGTGCACTGAGGCCTCCACCCGCATCCCCAGACCCTGCCAGCCTCTGTGGCTGCTTCCCAGGATCTGTGTTGCTGATGTTTCCTGAGACATCTGCTTGCCTATATTCTGTGCTGTCTTCGTCTGGGAAGATTCAGTGCCTCCTGTGCCTCCTGCCTACTGAGTGATTCCCAGGGCCTTCACCTCATCACACACAGGACACAAGAACTTAAGCCACCTGGGGGAGAAAAAGGTGTTACTTGTAAAAAGCCACGTAGCTGTCTGCCCAACTCCCTAATTCTTCCCACATCTGTGAGACACCAGGACGCGAGTTTTTCAGTGTTTGACGTCCCAGAATCAGTAATGTTGCTACCAACACTTCTTGACTACTATAGTTAACATAATTCATCTTATTTTTGTTTATCCACAAAAAAGCCCTGCTGTGCTTCATTACGTAAGATTTCAGGAAAGGAGTTTAGTCATGAATTCACTTCGTTGAAGGTGTGAGAGTTGTTGCAGGAGGCTGGATCTATTGTAAGTTGTGGCAGAGAGATTAGGAAATCTACACACATCTTTTATACACAGCACACGACAGAAGGAAACCAGCAATAGACTGAGGGTTATGCTGCATGTTGAGGCCTCGACCCCAGGGAGATGTGGGCACCCTCTGACCGCTCAGCAGCTCAGTCCTTCCCCATGGCCGCACCTGTTTGCCTGAAGATCCGTGAATATGAAAAGGAAGAAACTGTAGAAGACTATTAAATTATTTGATACTTACTAGTCAATTTCAAAATTCTTACAATGTGTTTTTCTGCAGATGTGTGATGTACATCAGAAAACCAACAGAGATGGGTGAGGTGGCTCACGTCTGTGGTCCCATCACTTTGGGAGGCTGAGGTGAGAGAATGGCTTGAACCCAGGAGGTTGAGGTTGCAGTGAGCTGTGATTGTGTCACTGCACTCCAGCCTGGGCAATAGGGTGAGACCCTGTCCCCCACAAAATGAAAGAACGCAGCACAGAAAATATCATAAAAGTGGTTATTTCCCCTCAAATTATATGTCTTAATACTTAAGTTATTCCTGCATAGATCCTCTTTGCAGAAATTCTGTCCACCCTATCACCCAGGAGTGGTTCCACTCCACACACACCCAGCAGGCGAACTGCATCTCCACACGTCTCAAACAGTAGAGGAGGAAGTGCGTCAGCTGCGCGCAAGAAGAGTCAGCCAGGCGGGCAGAAGAAAAAGGCCTGACCACTCAGAGGCGTTCCTCCTCCCAGAATAAAAAGAATCAAATCACTATTGATGACACCCCTGAGGGCTTCTGTGGCCCTGAGGACAAAACGGAGAGTTGTGGGGTGCCCTGCGGCCTCTCGAGGCTTCCGGCAGAGATAAGAGCCCACAATCTTGGCAGCACATGGCCCACCTGGCAACAGCTGTCAGTTTGGGAAGTGAAGGAAGACCACAGAGAGTATCTAGGGAGGAAGCATAATGTGAACATGCCCATTACACAACAATCGGAACCCTAACCCTAACCACCCTATCCCTAACCCTAACCACCCTATCTCTATCCCTATCCCTAACCCTAACCATTCTAACCCTAACCCTAAACACCCTATCCCTAACCACCCTATCCCTAGCCCTAACCACCCTAACCCTAACCCTAACCCATAGAGAATCGCTCTGGGCCTGCCTGGCTTTGCTGAGCCGGAGTGTGTGAGCACACCTGACCCGCCCCCTCCGTTCTCTCTGGGCTCCTCCATCCTGTGTCTGCCGGCATAACTCACAGAACCATGCCCTATCCTGCTCAGCCACCTCGACTTGCTAAGGGACCACAAAATGAACACAGTCCTGACGCTGCCAGCTGAGCGTGGGTGCATCTGGGGTTTTCACGAGATGTTCTCCCCAGGCAGCAAAGCTCTGGGTGCAGACAGGAGGTGTCCTGAGGCCAGAACAAGGATTGGGCAGGGGCTGGCGGCTGGCTTTCCCTCTGCTCATCGGTGGCCTCGGCTCTCTTCTTCACTCTGCGACTGATTGCATGCTCCGGAGAAATGGGCTTCCTGTGCTGCTTCTGGGATGTACGTCACTTTCCCACATCCCACATCCTATGGGTTCCGGGTCACAATTCATTTGTGCACTCTGCTGCTGAACGTGGGGGCTGTTTCCAACTTTAGGCGTTCATGCAGGGAGTGGCGGTGAGCAGTTCTGCTGTGTCTCCCACCGCCCACCACATGCCCCTGTGTGGGGGACTCCTGGGGCAGACATAGCCTCGGCCGTTCCCCTGCATCTCCCCTGAGGGTTGTCGAACATCCTGCAGAAAAGAACCAGGTGCTGCCCTAGTCACCACAGGACACTTTCTGTAGAGTACCTTGGGGCATGAGGGTTCTTCCCAGCGCCAGTCTAAGAAACAATAAAGCCCGAGGCAGGAGGAATCACAGCCCCATCCTGTTCTAGGGGCCATGGCATCCCTGGGGGCCCCTCTTCCTGCCCAGCTCCAGGCAACTGGCATACACTAAGTGTGCAGCTGAGCCGGTGAGAGGAGGGCAAAACCTACCCCACCTCCGAAATTAAGCACAGTTAACATCTATTCTCACTGTCCCAGTTCCAGACATTTACCCAAGAAAAATGGGAACCAAAGTCCACATGAACAACTGTACACAATGTTCACTGCAGCCCCACACTGGAGCAACCCAACTGCACGGCAACAGGTGGACAGATAAACAGATGGGGCCTGTGCATTGGAGGAATGCTGCTCGTCAGTGAAAAGGACTGACTGGGGACATGTGGGGCAACACAGGCCAACTGGGGACACACATAGTAACACGGGTGAACCGGGTACACGCACAACACGGGCCGAATGGGGAACACACATAACAACATGGTTCGACTAGGGGGAACACAACAACATGAGCCAACCGGGGACACGCACAACACCACGGGCTGACCAGGGACACGCACACAACACCACAGGCCGACTGGGGAACACACACAACAACATGGTTCAACTGGGAGGAACACACACAACACAAGCCAACTGGGGACACACAACAACATGTGCCGACCAGGGACACACACAACAACACGGGCCAACCGGGGACACGCATATCATGTGCCGACTGGGGACACACAATCACACGGGTGAACCTCGGAAACACGAAGCTGCACAGGATACTCGAGCAGGGAACCCACCTCACCAGAGGTCTGGGTCTGGGAGGGAGTGGCCCATGGAGGGGTGAGGAGACTTTGGGAGCGATGGAGGTGGTCTCCCTGCTGGGGCAATGGCAACACAGTAAACTGCGCCTGTCAGAGTGCCAGGGTGGTCATGGAGATGTGTGAGCTTCCCCAGTGCAGATCAGGGCTCAGTATCTCATGGAGAAGGGGCAGGGATATTGAAAACACCCAGGCAGAGGCTCTCTTCAGGACATGCTGTAAGATTGAAAGTGCAGGGAGCTTTTAACACTCTGTGATCCCAAGGCAGTTCCAGGGCCGTCGGCGGCTTCCAGCCAGCCTCAAGCTCAGGCTCGGTTCTGGAGCTCCCTCCAGTGGCCATCGGTGGGGGTGGCACTTTCAGGGCCATGCAGCACAACACTGGGAGAGCAAGAGCCCCGCAGAGGAGCCAGCCAGCTGGACCAGAGGAAGCTTCTCGAAAGGTGGGATGAGGCAGACACAACTCGGTCAGTTCCTGCCACGGCTTTTGCTGGCAGCCAGTGGCTGGAGGACAAGGAGAGCGCGCCGTTCCGTTCCCGAACAAGCCCCACGGCACTGCGGGATCTCCGCCCAGAAAGCCCACCCTCCCCCAAGATTTCCCCAGGCCCACAGACAGAAATGGAAAAACTGCCCATGATCACGCATGCAGCAACGGTGCAGCCACAGGTGTCTGTGCATCCGGCAGGGCCCCTACGGGACCCCCACGTCGCCTGACGCTGCCTAGCAGATTTGGGGCCAGTCCAATTGGGGCCCATCTTAGCCGGCAGATGCCAGCTCCGTGCCATGCCGAGGGACAGGGGAGGAGAGGACACTGCCTGTTTTCAGGCGGCAGGGAGAGGCCCTGCTCTATAGCCCTTCCCGCCCCCACAAACTGTCCCAGCAGAAGGAACCCATCCCTGGCCATTCCTTATAGCAAGTTGTGAAGTCCAGGACCAGACCGCAACGTGGACAAAGCTGGAGGAGGGAGGGGGCTGGGAGGGTTCTACCTGCCCTTCTGTGTCTGTCCACAGGATGCCAAGAGGCTCCTAGACCACCAGCCCCCCAGACCCTTGGTACTGTGTCCCCAAGCTGTTGGCCAGGGGCCTGCTGAGGAAGATGATGCCCATCCCTAAGCCTGAGCCTCCAGCCAGGCATGAGGGAAGGCCACACATGCTCTGGAGGTGAGGGTTTGGGGCACAGTCTTCACACAGGCTGGACTACATCCCAGGGAGGCTTCCTGCCTCTGGCACAATCACTGCCGTGTCAGTCACAAATGCTGAGCCCCCGCCAGGCCCCAACACTGCAGCACACGCATGGCCCCTCGCAAAGGATACCACATTGCTGTCCCAGTGGGATCTGCTTCTCTGTGGAGCTCAGGGGTCCCTCAAGTACCCGCCTTAGCAGAGGGCAAGCCTTGAGACATGGATGCTTTGTCCGCAGGGTCCCACCGGCTTCAATACAGAGCCCTTCAGCGCTGCGGTGGGTCATGGCATCCCAGTCTCCTTTCTCAGTGCTCATGCCGCAGCCCTGACGTGAGGCTGGAACCCAGGTGTCAGTCCTGGGTCTGGCCATGACCTTGGAGAAACCACCCCTCGGACCTAGAGCCTTAGGCACACCACCGTAGCCACCGCCACCCTGCAGGAAGTGGGATAGGAGATATCTCCAGGGCTCTGGCAGCCCCCCTCCCGTGGGGGGGTGTCTGTGACTGTCCCCGGGACATCATCCTGAGAAACAGCATCCGCAGTGGACACTGGCCCAGGAGGCACGTGGCTCTCCATAGTCACGCACATCTGGCTTTACCAAATCAGTCCTTGGTGAAGGAAATAATGTATACATTGGTACTTCCAAGACAAAGTGCCTTGATTGGCTTAGGGCAGCAAACTACAGAAGAAACTGGATGTGCTAGGCCCCTGCCTGGATGGCCGCTGCCTGCTCATTGGCCTTCCCCACGTTTACCCCCAACCCTTAGTTGCCTTCACCTAAACCAAAGAAGTTGAGTCTAAGATGAAAGTTTACTATCCTGCTGAATCGCTCGCTTTGACTGTTCTTAACAGACTGCCCAGCCACTTAAGTCATAAGTCAAATATCTGAAGAGCCCCTGAGGAGACTAGGATTGCAATGCACTGTGGGCTGAAACAAAATGCAGCAGAACAACCCTAAAGAAAACACCTAAAGCCCCTACCCAACAACCAATAGGCAATGTCTGGAAAGATGGTGACCACCCTCCCCCACCATAGTACTCAGCCTATGAGGAAATGGGGGAGGGGCCTGCGCACTAGGGGATAAATAGCTTGTTGTGACCGTGCTGGGTGTGCCTGCCAATCAGACACCCAGTCTTGCAAGACTGTCATTAAAAGCCTCATTTTCGCTGTTCTACAGGTCTCTGAGTCCATTCTTTGGGTTTGGACAGATGAGTTTGTTTTCACATCTGCACAGGGGAGAGCCCAGTCCCCAGGTGCAATTCCCCACACATGTACTCACACACACTCATGCACACACACACACTCATGCACACACACACACACTCATGCACACGCATGCAGATGCAGCCCCGAGACAGCGCTGCCAGAGCCAGCCCCACCGAGCAGCCCTCCTCTGGGGTAACAGGAGCCACAGGGCGGCCATGAGAGCAGATTCCACTGGCAGAGGCCCCCCGAACAGTGCTGTGCAAGGTGACACCACACTGACATTTCTGGTATCAAACCGAAGTCAATCTTTTAATGTCCCTCCCGCATGTCGGTAGCAGACTGGGAGCAAAGGCAAGAAAAGCTGCTGACAAACAGCTATTATGATAACATAGGCTTACAAATTCTTTTTTGAAAGAAACTTTAATAAAAAATGACCCACTGGTGAGCGGCGAAACAGGAAGCTGCTGTGGCCGCGGGCTCTGTGGCAGTAGGATTGGCTGTCACGTGCACCCTAAGAGAAGCCAGAGCTCCTCCAAGAAAAGCTGATGTGTGGTGGGCCTGGGCATCGGGCACCAGAAATCGAGAGGAGCTGGAGGCTCTGGGCACTGGTGGGGCGGCAGGGTAGGGGGGCTCCCACTGGCCACACAATGCATTAAATTAAAAAGAACAAAAACTGATGAGTCCACAGCGACTCTCCAAAGAGCAGGAGGGAGAGGGAGGAAAGGAGAGGAGAAGTGACATGGTGAGTCTTCACAGAAGCCACTGTTTTCACAGTCTCCCATGCAGGAACCAGTTCAGGAGACGCCAAAGGCACTGGGTGGGAGGCGGCAGGAAGGTGCCATCTGCAGGTCCCACGTACCATCCCCACAGGACGCATTGCCAGGTAAGTCCTGCGATGCACACCCACCTCAACCAAGTGACCACGTTCGGTGTCACCAGCACGGGGACAAGCTGGTGTGGCATGCCTGCGGGTGAATGCCATGTACCGTAGGCTGAGTGAAGCCAGCCTAGGACACCTTAGAAGACAGGCTTTGGATCCCAAGACCAGACCCCCAGGCCCAGGCTGCATGGCTACAGCACAGGCTCAGCACCTGGTCAGCGCATGTGGGGAGGCTGCAGGACACAGCCAAGAGTGGCACCCAAGTCACACAGGAGGGGCCAAGATGACCACAGCCGTGCAGGGGAGGGGTGGAGAGGGCCAAGCACTCAGGACTGAAGAACCCTGGGCAAGGTGTCCACAGAAGCCTTAAACTCTTCCTAAGAGGGATCCAAGATGGCTTTCTGATTCCTGAACTACACCCAGACCCTCCTTTGCACATAGAGTGCCCCTACACATCCCCATGGTCCTGGAGCCATAAGCATCCTGGTTGCCCATGGTCATCACACACTGACCACACACTGACCCGCCCATGGTGCCTCTGCTGCCCTTCTTCTCTTGCCACCCCCACCTGCAGCACATGTGCAGAGGAGGGCATGGAAAAGGTCCAAAGCACACATGACTGCAGCTAAGTTCATGAATGGCCTTGCACACGCAGTGGTGCAGACTCGGCTCAGCCACGCCAGACCCTGCACACTTGTGGGGCCGCCGCTGCTCCTTGGATTTCTAGGGTCAAACAGGGTCCAGTCAAGGAAGGGCTGTGCATCCTGCTGGTGCGTTTAGCCACATGATTAAGCACATTTCATAATTAGACATGATCATCCCATCTGAGACACAGAGCTTTCCAGAGCAGTCTAAGGGCTGAGGTTACTGCTTCCCTAAATGTTTCAGAGGCGACACCAGGGACACCAGCCAGGCCTGTAGCCCTCCTTGTAGAAGGGCTTTAGTTATGAAGTCAACTTCTTTTTTTTATTTGAGATAAAGTCTCGCTCTATCACGCCCAGGCTGGAGTGCAGTGGCATGATCTCGGCTCACTGCAACCTCTGCCTCCTGAGTTCAGATTCTCCTGCCTCAGCCTCCCAAGTAGCTGGGACTACAGGTGCACACCACCATGCCTGGCTAAGTTTTGTATTTTTAGTAGACCTGGGGTCTCACCATGTTGGCCAGGCTGGTCTTGAGCTCCTGACCTCAAGTGATCCACCTGCCTTAGCCTCCCAAAGTGCTGGGATCAAAGGCGTGAGCCATGGCGCCTGGCCTGGAGTCAATTTCTTTAACCTTTACAGGACTGATGGAGTCTTCAAATTCTTTTTGGGTCACTAAGGTAATTTGTATCTTAAAAGAACCTGCCCAATATTGGCATACAGTTGTTACAATATTCCCTTACTGTCATTTTGTTGTCTCTAGAAGGATCTGAAAACATCCCGGGCCCACCAACCAAAACCAGGTCCTGAAACCCAGGGCTGGCCACAGAGAGGAAGGTGCTCCTGTGACCTGTGTTTCTCATCCATTCTGCGGCTTCACATGGAAACACCAAAAACCCTCCTTTGGTGTGACTTTCAAAAGAATTAAAGACAATGACCAGAGGCCAGCGGAAGGGAAGGGTAGAAAGCTTTCTAGCCACACTGGCCCCCCCCTCACCCTGTTCCACTCCCGTTTGGGAGACACGTGGCCAGCAGCTGCTCCCCAGCATGGGCAGCTCCTCCTGCGTGTCCCAGGTGAGTTCCCACCCACCCCTCAGGCTCAGCTTCCCAACCTGTAATCCTGCTGGAATCTGTGGCTGAGCTGCCATGGCGCTGACCTGCTGCTATTCAACAACTTAGAGCTTTCTTACCTTCTCACAACTCCCTGAGCCACTGTTTTCACTATGGTTTTCTTCCCTGGCCGGTATGTGGTTCTTAGGAAAACAGAAGGTCCGTGGGAAAAGTGAATGCCCCTGAATTCACCGCTGCTGTGACGTGCCCTTCTCCGATCCTGGCACCCTTCTTGGGGTCCCACAGCACAGGACCTGGCAGCCAGAGTCTCGACACTGGGGAACACATTCCTCCCTCCCCTCCAGGGGCAGGACCAGCCCGGTGGGTGCAGGGCCAGCTCCAACAAGTGCTTTCTAAACTGCAATTTCCTCATCTACAAAAGGACAATCCCAACGACAGAATCCAGGGACAGGATTGCATGAACTACAACCAAGTGGTGTTTACAGCGGCACACGGCACTCAGCAGACCAGAGGCGCTCAGTGACCACTGCCACAGTGACTGTCAGCACAGCGGGGTGGGAGGCAAGGAAGCAGCACTGCAGATGTGGAGCCAACCCCAAAACTGCCTTCCTCGGAAACGCTTCTGTCCAAGAACCTGCAACTCCCCAAGGTGTCTGTGTCCCATGGCCCCAGGCCCCATGCTCTGAGGTCGCTGGGGCGTCCGAGGCCAGGAGGGGCGCTGAGGAGATGCAGAAGAGACAGTTCAGCAGCTGGGGGAGGCAGCAGCCATGAGGCCCGCGCCTGGGATGCCACATAGCCTGCTGGGCAGCCACCCGAGGGACCCGCCCCTGCGTCATCAGCTCTGCCGATCAAAGAGCAGAGGGCAAGGCGGGTGGAACCCAGGGTGGGTACAGAGCTGAGCGCAGGACAGACATCCCTCTAGCCTGGCAGCCGCCCCACGTCATAAACAGGAAGACACGTGAGCCTGGGGGCTCCTCCTTGCGACTCCAGATATGTGGGTTGTGGGAGGGCAGTGGAATGAACCAAGGGCAAAACAGTCTGTGGAGGGCGCCTGCAGCATCCCAGGACCAGCCTTGCCATAGCCTCTGCCCAAAACACCCCCTCCTCTGGCCTCCTTGAATTCTCCTGAGGACCAAACGTGGGAGGGATATGGCTCCTAGGCCATCTGAGCAGTGACAAGCCGGAAGGATGGTTAGAAACAAACATTTGAGGGCTCTGGAAGCCGAATGAGGCCGCACAACAAGCAATTCACAGTGGAGCTCGGGAAGACCTGCGCCTGGGGCCCTGTCAGAAACCACAGGGGTTTTGTGACGAGCAGTTGAGGGAAGCCAACATGGCAGAGTCAGGGCTGCAAAACTGGCTGGAACAAGCATTCAGACCCGCTAGAAGGGTAGGAGAAGCATTGCAGCGTGGAGCACACCAGGGATGGGCATTACAAGGGAGAGGCATGCCAGGGAAGAGCATGCCAGGGAGGAGCACCGCCAGTGCGGCTGCGAGGGGCACCATCGTGAGGGGCACCGCCTTTCCTGGGCCTGCATGGTGATCAGCAGGCGGCGGTGGGGGGACCTCTCTCCCAGGCACGGGCTCTGAGGAGGAGTCCCCCTGCAGCACTGGTGGTCTCCTATGGATGTGCCGTGCTGGGAGACTGCAAGTGGGCTGGGTGAGTTGTAAACAGGCCTGAGAGGGTTCCCCTAACACGGGCAGGCGTCATCCACAGGGCATGAGCACCAGAGAGAACAGGCCTGGTCCTGGGAAAAGCCGCAGAGGAAGGGAAGCTGGCCCTGAATTAATGTCCGAGATCTTTTCCTCCACTTGGCATGGCTCTCTGCCTTCAGGGACCGGGGGCCTCGGCCAGGACTCTTCACAGCCCAATGCTGCAGCCTTCTCAGCAAAGCCGGGGGAGGGGAGCATGGGGACGAATGTTGGCCTTGCCCGGCTGGGGAGAGGACCTGCTTCCAGCAGCACCTCCTGCACGGCCCACGCCTGACCCCCGGGTGAAGCTCCAGGTGCAGGCTTGCAGGGCAGTCGGCAAGGGGCTAGCCCCTGCTCTATAGACAAGACTCAGGTTACCTGATATGCCAGTCCAGAGCTCTTGCTGTTCTGTATACCCTGTTGTTGGGAGCAGAGGGCTGAGCCCCCTGTCTGGGCTGAATGCCAATGCTGGCTGTTGGCTGGGGACTGTAGGAGGGGCTCCAGGGAAATCGCTCTTGCACTTCCGGAGGCGTGAGCGCTTCCCCTGCTCTTCTTGGTAGGTTTCAGATCCTATTTTAAGTTCTCCACTCTGGCAGGGGCTGCTCTCTGGACGTGTAAGCCCTCAGGTGCCCGGTGTACGGGCACACAGCGCCTTTTCCATCCGCAGTACTAAGCTGGCTGCCTCCTACCTAGGCCAGCGTGCATTTTCCTAGGTTACATGGCCAAACCAGATGCTGCCTACATGCCGTGAGTGTGGTAAATGGCTTCACACCAGATTCCTGTCTTCCTTAGAGAATTCTAGGTTTTCTGCGCCTATTTTCAGTGAGCACAGAACAACTGAAGAGGGGACAGGACAGAGACACGGGCACACCTCGGTGCCACAGCTGGGCTTTGGCAGAGGGGAAGGCTTTGTGCACATTCTCTGGGAAGCTGCAGTCCCACCAGCAAGGCCTCTACCTCCTCAGTGGCCACCTGCCCTCTAACCGCTGGGCATGTGCGCGGGGAGACGGGAGCAACCTCACAGCGCTGGCAAGTTTCTCTCTAAAAATCAAAGCTTCTCTATGCTACAGATTGGCTCCGCTAAATAAAAGAAAAGATGGCGTATTTTTGTAGCGTTTGGGATTGGAAATGACTAAGACACACAGTGGTTCTAGTCCTGTCTCCCGAAGATGGAGCTGGACGAGGTCTGCAGAAGGTCAGAAGACACGTCAGGGGCTTGGCTCAGCTGCCAGATATGCAGCTATGGTGGGATTTCTGTCACAGGGCAAGAAGGTGGAGGCTTCGTGTGGCAGAACACAGGGACACTTGCTTCCTAGAGGGCACATCTGGAATGCGTGTGTTTTCACGGGGCACGAAACCCAAAATGGAGGATACCAGCTTCACAGGGCACGAAACCTGAAATGGAGGATACCAGCTGTGGGGGCTGGGGCCCAGGCACATTGGTGTTTCCACCCAGAGGGTGAAGTCCCCAGGGGACCTGGGTTGAAACTTCCATAGCAAGCAGGGGCCCCAGCCAGGCTCTGCACGAGGCGGGCACTGTGCTCGGGTGGGAGTCCTGTGCAATGCTCCTGCACCCCACACCCTATGACCACAGGCGAGACCTAACACCCCCAATGCCAGGTTCACCTCATCTCCTCAGAGTCTCACCAGGATGCTCATAATGGGGCCAGATGCACTCCTGGGCTTGGCTAGTTGGCCAGGATTGCAGGCTGATCAGGTGAAAACCTGGGCTTTACCACCTTACCCCATGTGGGACTCACAGCCAGGCCAGGACTCACCTGCCTGCTGGGACTCTGGGACAGTGCCTGCTCCAGACAGAGGCTGGGAGCTCCGTGAAGGACACGTGGAGTGGGGTAAGGCCTGTGGCTCACCCATTTGGCTCTGGCTGGCCAGGTGTCCCTCAAGCCCCAGTTCACTCTTCCCCCAAACACTCAGCTCCACCCACCCCCCCACCACCCCAGCTGGTCAGGGATCTGCCAAGGCTGCTGGTGAATGGCCGGCTGAGGAGGCGGGGAGGCCTGTGGAGAGGGAGGGCTGGGGCCACGAGGGCCAGCAGGACACGAAGGTGGCTACGGGAGGAGCAAGAAGCCAAGAGCAGCTAACAACCCCGCCAGGTCCTGCCGTGGCAAAACAGCCAGCAAGGGGTGGCCACCGGGATCTCGGTCCTGACAGCCACCCTCGCCAGGTGCCTGTGGAGCCACGAAACCCTGGCTGCTAGGGCCGAGACCCTCCCGCCTGCTGCCCAGGCCAGGCTCTCAATCTCAGGGGGCCTCTGGCTGCACACAGACCATGGCAACAGGAGTGGGGTCAGTCCAGCCCACAGGGCCAGGGACCCACTGAGCTTCGTTAAGGAGTGCTGACGGGCTCACACGAAGTGGCCTCCATACAAGGGAGGGGAGGCTGACACGGCCTGCACTGGGCAGACAGGGCCACGGGCATCCCAGTGGGGCAGAAGTGGCCGGCTCTAATGAGCTCCAGTCCTGTCCTGCTGACTCAGACCTGCTGTGGGCACTGTGGAACAGCCAGGACAGTGGGACAGTGGGACAGTGGGAAGGGCTTCTCATGGGCAGGGGAGGGGCTGTGTGCTGTTTCTGGGTATGGGGACAGTGGGAAGAGCTTCTCACGGGCAGGAGAGCAGCTGTGTGCTGCTTCTGGGTATGGGGACAGTGGGAAGGGCTTCTCATGGGCAGGGGAGGGGCTGTGTGCTGTTTCTGGGTATGGGGACAGTGGGAATGGCTTCTCCCGGGCAGGGGAGGGGCTGTGTGTTGTTTCTGGATATGGGGACAGTGGGAAGGGCCTCTACCGGGCAAGAGAGGGGCCGTGTGCTGTTTCTGGGCACCCTGCTGCTGAGGAGGGAAAGGAGAGCTGGAAAGCCCCAGGATTTCTCAAGGGAAGGTCAAAGGTGATGCATGGAGGCCCAGGGCCTTGGTCCATCTTCACTGAGAGTATAGGGGTCCCGCAGGTGTGTGCTGGGTCTCCCGACCCAAGTGAGAAGCAAGATGTGCCCAACCTCCACCTCTGGATGGACAGAAACATATCCTGCAGCCTTCGCCAGGGTGAGGTGGCAGTGGAGAAGCAACCACAGCCAAGGCTGTGTCCTGAGGCCTTTATACGATGAAGTCTGAAATTATACTCCCAAGCAACTAGAAGCTGAGACCCAAGGGCCCACAGGGACAGAGCTGAGGCCAGCAGACCTCCACAGCCATCCTGGATCCCCAGGCAGGCAACGCTCAGCTGCTCGCCTGCTGTCCGCCCCCCTACATAGGCACCCCAAATCACACAAGAGAATTGTGACCTCAAAAGTTCATGCTGCTTCTGCACAGAAACAATAATGTGTGAACCATCCTGGGAAGATGTGTAAAACAAGAGCAGACCTGGAAAGGATCTATAAAAGCAGTTTGGAAACTGCTCAACTGTCCACCCAGGGGAAACGGTTTCGTGAACTACCGTCATAGCACTGTAATTACTTATCCATTAAAAATGATAATAAAACCCAGGAAGACGCCCG